TTTTCCAAAAAAATTTTCTTTCCCAGCATCAACGGGAATGGAGAAAATCACAAATTCTAAGTGAGAATAGTTAGTATAGTGGGCTGAAATTTGTTGTTTTATGGGGGAAATGTTTAAAAGTCCATTTGCAAAGTCTGATGATTGCAGGATCCATTTTTTTCCCATTGCTTTTTTATTGTATCTTGTTCAACTGGTCTCTCACATGAACTTTCTTAGAATTAGGCAGTTCCTGATTCCTGTGTTACTTCCTGTTTTTATAAATAAAAATAGAAAAGCATCTTAGAAAGGAAACCTGGTCAGTGTGAACTACTTTGTGAGATCAGTTAGGCTTAGCTGTTATCTGGATTATACAGTATATAATCTGTATAAAATAGGTAAAAGTTTTCAAGTATTTCTGAATTTTGAATATTTTTACATATAGTAAAATAGATGATATGGGAAGAGTTTCTGAGAGATTTATATATTTAGCTGTAAACTAACGTGTATTGGGGGAAGCTTAAGAGGAGGAAGAGTGCATGGAAAATACTATAAATCTTTTCCTTATAAAACTTTACTATAAATTCAGAATTGTCAAATACTGAGGTCTAATTCTTAGCCATGTAGATCTGTATGTTTTTTTCTTGCCAGTTTTCCAGACATTTGCAAATAGAATTTTTTTTTTGGTGGGGGTGTTGTTTGTTGTACTTTTTAATGTGTATGAGTGGATTGCCTGCATGCACATAAGTGCAACCATGTCATGCAGTGTCCGTGAAGGTTAGAAGAGGGAGTCAAATGCCCCTGGAACTTGAGTTAAGAATGGTTGTTAGCCATCATGTGGGTACTGGGAATTGAACTGAGGTCCTCTGCAAGAGCAGCCGCTGAGCCATCTCCAGCCCTAGTAAACAGAAATTTTTGTTGCTGTTGCTATTGTTTGTTTGTTTTTGTAAATCATTAGAAGTTTGATTTCTAAATGAATTATTCAGTTTTAAAGCAACAAGTTAGGTAGAAACATAATGGTCAATAATAATAGGTAATGTATATTGAGCACATAGTGATAGACATTATGCCAAGCACTATAGATTTTCTGTTCAATCTTTATTGCAGTTATATAGAACATGTATAATTGTTATCACTTTTATGGAATAAATTACAGTTTAGAGTGACTAAGTCATTGGTTTATGGAGAACTCCTTATTTTCAATGGTGATGGAGAAAACCACAAATTCAAAGGGAGAATAGTATAGTGAATTGAAAAACAGTTTCCCAACTTTTATTACCTTCAGTTTGTTTACATTTTGTTTGCATATTTGCATTTAGTTTAGCCCACTATATATATGCCTCATCTCAGTGCTTGTTTAGGATTTAAGTTCTTCAGTAATGCTAATAGTTCTCTTTTTTTTTCTTTTCCTTGATAGTAAAAAATCCCTTTGATGAAACATTTGGAAAAATACAAGTAAGTAAAATATAATATTTATATTTTAGTCATTTTGATGTGTTTATTTTTATTTAATGTGTATGTAGTGTTTTGTCTGCATGTCTGTAAGGGCACGTGTTGTGCAGTGCCCATAGAGGCCAGCAGAGGGCGTCAGATCCCCTGTAACTGGAGTTTAGAACAGTTGTTGGCCACCGTGGAACCAAGTCCCATGAACCCTGGTCCTCTGTAAAAGCAGCCAGTACTTTTGACCTCTGAGCCATGTCTCCAGTTCTTTAGTCATATTTTAAATGATGAAACTATTAAGATGACTATAAACTGAGAAGATTAAGGTTCTTTTATAACCAGTATTCCTAGATATAGTATAATTAACGCAGATTTCTTCCTCAAAGCTGAACTTTTCATTACATTAACGTAATGACAGCTGCCTAGTCAAATGGAAGTGGCCTGCTATGCCTGCATCTATTCCCTATACCTAAAACCATGTTTGTTGTCTTAAGTTGTCTGGTCACTTAGGTTTTTTTCCTTTGTCTTCATTTTGTCTCTCTTTGGATCTTTGATTCTTTGGCCTATTCACTCAACAGAGAAGCAGAAGATTTGGAAAGGAAACAGCAGGGGTTTCTAAAGATTTTTTTTTTTAAAAGGATACTATAATAATTTCAACCAAAAGTTTATGTAATCAAAATATTACCATATTATAGGTACTTACCATATTATAGGCACCTTGAATATTTAAGATATTTAAGGTTTTGCATATATAATATATATTTTGATGCTGATTTTTTTTATTATGGGAACTCACATGCACATATGCCCATGCGTGCGCACATACACACACACACACACACACACACACTATGTTTTCCACTCCCACAAAATGATTTGAATATATGAACCAAAGTCTTTCTCATTCTTTCTCAAGATTTATTTAGATAGGTAATATATATCATAAAAACCTTATTTAGACCATAATTTGGTTTTTCATTCAAATATTTAATTGCTTATCTACCTGAGAATCCAGTCACTTTGAATACATTTTCATTAGAAAAATAACTCTTGAAAGAAATTGTAGTTGAGCTTTTTGAGTGCTTACGTTCCTTGTATGAGACCCTAACTACTTTGTGTGATACAGTATGAGATCAGCTCTGTCTGAGTAGGCTTTGCTATTTCTTCTTATCTGTGAGCTAAAAGATAGACTTTATTCTTGGGTTGCTTATGTTGATCGGAGATGTAATGAGAGAGGACAGGTGCTAAATGCCAAATTGTATTTTGGTTTTGACAGAGGAATGAGGACGGGCATGATCATGACATGTAAAACACAAAGGATACCATCTATCTCTTCCAGATAAGAGCACACTTCAAAAAATTCAGCCACTTTGATTCCACAGCTTAATCAGATTCACCTTGGTTATATATATGAAGTCTGTATGCTGTATTGTCATTGGACCTTTTTCACATTCTATTATGTTAAACATTTTTATTGAAAATTCTTTTGTAATTTGTAGTATCACTAGCTCACAATTTTCAGAATCTTGGGTTTTAGCCTTGATTTTGCTTTTTATGTCTGATTTTTGGAGGGTTTTTTGTTTGTTTGTTTGTTTGTTTTTTTCCTCTTATTTTGAGACAGAGTTACTAAATAGCCCAGGCTGGCCTCATACTTGATATCCTTCTACCTCAGTCTCCTTCTGCTGGGATTGTAGGCATGTGTCACTGCTCTGTAATTTGGATTTTTAATTTTATGTGACAATAAGGATTGGCTTGAATCAGAATTGATATAAGGTTGAGGTCAATAAAAGGGTTACGTGGTAGCAAAAAGCTTGGAAAGGAAGAAGTCAGCTGAAAGAAAAAATATCTTACCTGTCATCCATAAGACATAGAACCAGGGACTTGGTGGTAGGATTTTGGGATCTTTGATGAGTTTGCTTCTTCATAGTGTCACTGATTGTATTAGTTAGGGTTTAAAGTAACAGAACTGATAGAATGAATATATGTGGGATTTATTAGATTGACTTAAGCAATATGGTCCAGGTAGTCCAGCAATGGCTGTCTTACACTGGAGAGGCCGAGAATTTGGTAGTTGCCCAGTCCACAGGGCTGGAAGTCTCAGCAGTTCCAATCTGTCACTGAAGGTCTGGAGAGTTCCTGGAGAACAGCTGGTCTTCAGTCTGTGTTGCAAGCCTGATAAAACTGATTCTGATTGTGGCAAAGGGATGCAACAGCCACAGGAGGGATGGACTTGCCAGTAAGAATGAAGGCACCTAGGCAAAACCCAATGTTTATTGTGTATTTTTTTGTCTGGGCTGCCACCAGAAAGTGACACTCTCTCATTTCAAATATTCTAATCAAGAAAGTTCCTCATAGGAGTGCCCAGTGGCTTTCATTTCAGTTGATTCTAGATCCAGTCAAGCTGACAACCAAGATTAGCCATCATACAAGGGGAAGGTGCATTGACAAAAGCATGCTACCTATAGTGTGCAAACTTGTTTTCTTCATTTCCTGAAAATCTATGGGAAAAAAAATGGATTGAAGAGGTTGCCATTAGACATATGAATGTTACTTTCTAAGTCTTTTAATCTTGTCTGAATTTGCTCCATGGTTATATTTTTCTAGAAATCCTGTTTTGTCAGGTGCGTCAGAAAAAAGACATTATTAGGCACAACCCCCACTAATCATGAGTTTATCACACTGTGATAAGCTGTTATCCCTTCTTCATCACTTACATTCCTTTATTTTAATTGCAGGGTTTTTTTTTCTCATTGGGTTTTTTAAAATTATTTATTTAATAACCACATAACTAGAAGAAGCATTTCATTACAACCGCATTAACATATTCAATAACAATTTCCAGAGCTAAGATGCATCTTTTTCAAAATTGGCTGTAAATTTTTAGATTTACAGCTGAGTTAA